GCAGTGCAATCCATATAATGGAAGTTGCTCGTTATGCGACACTAGATTCAAATGTTTTTTTGTTTACACGTGTACGTACAGTCGAAAACGTAGACCACAAAATTTAGTAATAACTAGTAAACCATGAGAACTACGAATATAAAACGACGTTTTGGTGCTAATTTTCTGAGGTGATGGCTAATATTTTACGTGGTTCTACAACAGGATGATTACGTAAAAACGTCATGCCAGAAGACACATACCCACCCTTGTGAAAATTCGTGGATGATATGTGATGTGTTAACGAGACTATTGGCTTTCAAGGACGAGGAAATTTTGAGGCTTGTATAATTCAGGTGGTCGGATGTGTTAGAGAATAAACTGGCTATGAACTCGCTATAGCTGATATAAAGATAATGAAAGCACAAATGTTTAGAGATAAATATGTACAGTTATATTTCAGGCTGAGGCACTCTAGTGCAGTTCTGCAGTCCCTTGAATAGAAGAAGTGAACTAAGAGGATTTTTATCCAGAGATGGACTCTTGACTGGAATCCGCTCAATAAAAAGACTACGTGGGTCACAACTTTCAGTGACCACATGCGAACACAGGACAATAACATGATTAATCGTGCTGAACCATTGGATCGTCGTTTAAAATGACATGTACTGAAAAGTGATTTTCTACGCAAATGTGTGTTGAATGTGTACGAAATAAATGCCACAACGTCAACAAGAGAGAGCACGAAAGACCGGATATCTGCGACCAGACGCAATAAACACAGAGCACCTAAGCTTTCACTTCCATTAGTTGGACAATTGGTTCTTACTTTTGCGCAAAAAATAGTGATGTGGTTTAAATAAGTGGATCATGTGTGTGCATAATACGGAACGGATGACAGGGTGTTCATGCTGAACCGAGGTTTTGCCTGTAGTGGCGTTGATTCTAACCCTGCGATCGTTGAAGCTGAACATGAGATAACCGAAAAAATTCACACGATGGTGAACGCGGGAACAGTTAATCGAAACAGTATGACTCAGCTATGTGGGCGTGGTCACTTCACGTAACCTTTTATTTTTATCCAGTATATCACTCTCCGAAATATGTTCTTCGGAAGTGCTGAATATCGCTATTCAGTGTAAACAATGATTTAACCTCCACGTGAGATCTTATGGATTAGATAGTCATATCATAGCAAAACTACAATTTTGGGGTCAGGTCTGTCATTACGGCAGCGAAGATAAATGTACCAATATTGAAATAGGCCATAATTCCACAAAGTCACCGCTATTTCTCTGTATGACAAAGAAATTTATTTTGATATGCCAGTCGCTCATTATGCGGGAGCCGTGTGATTCCAGGAATTAAATTAGTTGGAGGTTTTTGACTTTTTTCCTGACAACTTACTCTAGGTTAAGATGAGCGAACGAGGTATGGAAAATTAAATGGTTCAAATGGTTCTGGACGGAGTAGAAGAGGCCTTTGCCTAACGGGCAGGAACCTGTAGGCAGAAACGTAGGTGTATTATCGATAAAAGGGGAAAAAGAAATTGGTACGTCATAGTGAAATACTATCCTTAGTCCTTAAGAATATGTCCAGTTTTCTCATAAAGGACTCCTGAGAAGTCGCTTAGTCTATCTCAGTCGGCAGCAGATTCCGGCATTTGACTACTCTTAGGGAGTAGCAGTTTTGTCTACAGTCCGTTCTGCTCTGTCGGTTTTTCAGATTCTAGATGTTGCCCCTTAGATTTGTGTTGGAGATAAAATTACGTAAATGTTTAAGAGGATGTCCAGGAGTATTTAGGATGCTGTAAGCCATTAGGTCACCTCTAATACGTCCATACTGTGATGGGTAAAGTTTTGGTGACTGGAGGCTCTCTGCATAAGTCCTGAATTTGAGACCCTGAACCGATAGGTTACAGAGTGTCCTTATATTTTGGAGTGAGGGAGGTGATACTATGTTTCCGTACACTAAATGGCGACGAATAAAACTATTGAAGATTATGCGGAGCGTTCTTCCATCAAATTGGCCAAAAAAGCGCTTTGATGTTACCAGTGCAAAGTTTTTCCGAAAAGCAATTTTTTCAAAGTTAGAGTAAGAATTCAAGTCGTAGTGTTCCAGCACCCCTAAATGTTTTCAACTTGGGATGCTTCTAGAGAGAAGTCGCCTAGGTTGTATCTGTAATCTGCAACATGTCTCAGGTGGATTACTTTACAGTTTGAAGTGTTGAAGGTAAGTTCGTAGTTATCTGCCCAAGTCTGAAGATACCCGTTGTGGAAGATCGTTTATATAAGTCAAGAAAAGTAGAGGTCCTAATATTGAATCCTGGGGAACCCCACTAATACATTTCATAGCTTAAGAAAAAGTGAAGTTAACCCTGATCTTAAAATGTCGATCTTCTGGACACGAAGTGAGCCAATCAATTAAAAGCGAGTTGATAATTAGTCGTTTGAGCTTGTTCATAAAACATATATTGTTAACCCTATCAAAAGCTTTTTAGAGGTCAAGGTAAATGATGTCAACCTTCTCCGTGCGATCAAGGATGGTTGTCCATCCGTCCACCACAGTCAGCAGGTTGACTGTTGAAGAATGTCCCTTCCTGAGACCGTGATGTTGGGGTGAAAAGAAGTTTAGGGATGATAAATAGTCGTGTATACCGTTGCATACCAGGGACTCCATAATTTTTGAGGGTATAGATAGAAGGGCCTTCGGTCCGTAGCTTGAAGTTTCGATGAGTCGGCTTCCCTTGAAAATTGCTGCGATATGAGCGTGCTTCCAAATTTCCGTTAATGTTCCTCGCCATTGCGAATGTGAGATCATGCTAAGCGGTGTTGTCAGTATTGAAGATGCATACCTCAGTATGGCAAAATGAACCATACCCGGACCAGGAGAAGTGTTTTTTTCTTATATTCTGCAGTTTACGGTACACCAAGTCAGCACTCAGGTTCACTTTGGAAAGTCCTTTGGAGTTTTAGATGAAGCTTTTACCAATGTGGTTAATGTGGGTCGGTTGAAATATCCAAGAGAACTGTACTGCTAGAAGGTTAGCGGTGTTACTGTCGCTGTTGGTCGGACCATTAGTACCTAGTAGCTAGGAAACTCCAGTTTTGGCTTCAGTGTCGAAATGTCTCAAAGCTCTACAACAGATAGCTAGATGTTATTCATTATGTTCTGTGTACGTACCATGACAAAAATCATGATAATCCATTTTCAGGTACTAATTGTGCGCTGTAAAATTCTAGACCGTTCACGAAAATTATGAAGATCATTCTGAAGCTCCAAATTTTGATTTCTAAAAATGTGCTTTCCAAACGTTTGTATTGGCTTTAAATGACATATTGTTGTTGACATCTATATGGAAAGCCAGAATTTGATCTGTATGGTCACTCTTACCCAGGGTTTCTATTTAATCACTGGCCTTGTGAAATCAAGGAAATCCTTACTTATATGTCTCACTGAATGAGTTAACTTTCGGATTGCATACTTCAGTTTACACAGTGCATTCGATTTTCCGTGCGAAGAACTATTTATTCCTATAAATTTTCGTGGTGATTCACAACAATATTGACGAACTGAGCGTTTAAACCATTTTCCCAGTCCGTTGATAACAAGTTTGACTAACCACAAGTGAAACCGTATGAAATTCCCAAGCTTCTGTGGTGCTTAATAAACGTGAATATTTATTGCTACTGCCTGCTATCGTTAACTCAATAGTAATTGATAAAAGCTTTTCAGAGCTACATCTTTCTGTATAAGCTGACAAGCTCTAATTGAGTTTAATGATGTATTTTGCAGAAAACGTCATTGTAATACGGTTGAAATTATAAAAACTTGCAGGCGAAATTTCACCCAGGTTATTATTAATTCCCTGAAGAAGTGGCTCAAACTAAGTCACGGAACATCAGAAAACCTAATTTTTCTACTCATTGGGTTATTACAAACATATTCTTCATTTATCACCTAGGTAACTTTTTATCATTTTACAAATGATTGTAAGATATTAGCATTAACTCGTACAACGATTTTATTGAATCATTGTTTCATTCTCAAGATGATAAACCCAGTCCTGATTTTCAGGACAGATCAGCGTGGACGTGTTTACGCAATGAAACCATAATTATGTCAGGCTTATTTGACTTGGAAGACATGAATAAAGCTGACATAAAAATCTTACAAACGAAGCATAAGTTCTAAAATTAATGCTACAAAGCACGAACTGAAACCATTCAAGATGCGCGGAAGCCAGCATCAAACCGAGAACTGCCGACACAACGATACATGCCATAACATGTTTCACGTGAGCGAAAACTATGGAAGCTGGTTTTCTACCGTGCTGAGTCAACTATGAGTTATTTAAACAAACCGTTTCTCCTTGTAAGACTTTCGAAGCTACATTTTTCTGCAGGAGGACGAAATAATCGGTTGTGACGTGATCTTAAACTTAAAAGCAATGCATTTAAACTATGGTGAAGAGGCAGGTGCGTATTAACTGATGGATCTACACATCGTATGCAAGTCAAATGGCATGATTTCATTTACGAGCAGTCGCACTATCTTATCCGCTTATTAATCAAAGTAAAGTATTTGGCTTTAGAAAGGAGGAACTAAAGTTAATGATCTTTAAACAAAGTCTTGATCAGTTTGAGAGCTTTCCGTTTGCGAACTTCCTAGTATGAAATTATAAGCGGAGATGAGTTTGTGATATATTTTGTAACTAATGACTTCCTCATAATATTAATTCAAAGTTTGAGTTCTTTGGCCCTTAATACGAAAAAGACACAGAAAGACATGAACATCAAAAAAGTACTATAGTATGTTAGTCAGTAGTTACAATTTGCAAATAGTTTCGATTAGGTTCTGCGGTCGTCAAGTTTGGTAGCTTTAAAAGATTGTCAGGATAATGAAAAATTCTTTTTTATTCTAGAAGAAAACGTTATATAAATCAATCAAAGTCTGACGATAGTAAACCTGTTTCTTAAAATTTGAAGATTTTTCATAGTTCAATAGTAAAATATATTAGGAATAATTTGTGCGCTTTTTCGAAGGTGTAATCAATGAGATGCCGCTTGCACATCTTGGTCAACCATTCCTGAAGGCAAGCGATGTCACGAATGAGGTATGTTTTTTGGATTACTGTCATTATGAATAGTTAAAGTGCATATCTATAGATGACGCACCGGATGTTGGTTGTCAAAAGGTTTGTATTTCTTTAATTCTTAGGCAGTATTAGGTCGATGTTGCCGAGGTTGAAGTGAATATTGAAAAACTAGCCCACAATACAGAAAAAGTCGATCCATCATGTTTTGATCTGCTTTACGTCATTGGTCAAGGGTCTTTTGGGAAGGTATTGTCGTTCTCAACAATCTTATATTTACTACAGGTATTTCTTGTGAGGAAAAACAATGGAAATGATAAAGGAACTTTGTATGCAATGAAAGTACTAAAGAAGGCTGTTTTGAAAGGTTTGAAATATAGGTATTTCGACTGAACTCGCAGTTCGTGATAGATTGAGGACAAAGCTAGAAAGAGATATTTTAACTAGAATTAAGCATCCATACATTGTTGATTTGCATTATGGTATGCTCATCCGTTTAATTTGACTACCTTAGCTTTTCAAACTGAGGGAAAGGTGTATCTTATCCTGGAATTTTTAAGGGGAGGGGATCTTTTCTCCCGCTTGTCCAAAGAGGTAACTTCAAGTTTCCATTATTCTACGTTACCGTAAAGTACATGTTTACAGAAGACGATGTGAAATTCTATTTGGCTGAAATTGCATTGGCTCTCAACTATTTACATAGTCACGGGATAGTTTACAGAGACCTAAAACCTGAAAAGTAAGTCTCTTGAAAACTTTTAAATTTTTATTGATATCTAACTCAAAAATATTTCTTATTGTTTAGAGTCCTGGTATTCAAAATATTTTAAATGAAAATTATAAGTGTGTTTTAAGAGCTTTGAACTTATATTTGCTTTAGACAAAATTTTGTCCTACTCTAAGCTGAAAGTCTGTCAGATGCTCGAAGATCCCAGGGTGAAGCTGGATGTGTATCTTTTTGTAGAGTCTTCCAAAGAATAAACTTCAAAGCAATATTTAATTTATCTCATGTCAGGTTTTAGAGGGGAAGCTTTATTTCCTCCGGGCTTTAAATTTTTTATTATTCTACAGTCTCCTTTCTACATTTACATATCTTTTTTAATCATTTTGATGTTGTTCTCTGAGCTTTAACAAAACTTCAACAAAATCATCTCACTGATCTACAAATCTCCACCATTGTGAAAAATTTTAATCTTTACTAAATTCTATGCATGATTTTAGGAGACTGGAAATAACGAATCAATTCTTGTTTTTGTGAAGGTTCATATTGTCGTTACTCGTTAGAAAAACGATTTTTGGTAAACGTAGTTAGTTATCATACGCGCACTTTGTACCCAGAACTTACGAGTATTATTTTTAGACGTAATAATAATGTATGTAAACCAAAACAAATATTTTACGGAAAATAAGCTTTTGCTAGGAGTAGTTAAAATTTTAAAGTTATTTTTAGTGTCAATGGTGTCACTTCTACTTCCTCTGTCCCGATATTGATCTCGATCTCAGATTGTTGTGTTGATGAATCATAGCAACTTGTACAAATACGTATTGATAACAGGTTCTTACATCGCTCATGATTAAGAGTGCATTTTTATGCTTCTGGTTTTCATACCTCAATAAATTCCATACTGTCTTCACTCGGCGATTTTATTATCGAACCATCCGACCACATATATTTCTCAGTAGACGGTGTGTAAGATCTTTGGCTGGCAATTTTAAGTCGTTTTTACTGGTTATTCTAATCTTGTTTTGTGCTAGCTACTGAAAACGTTTATGTTGTCTAACTTTCATGTCAACACAAAAGAAACCAGCACTACAGAAATCAAATATTGGTCTGGAATTGTATTAACCAGGAAACAGCCAGTTACATATTGAAGTTATTATTAATTATCAGTACAGGATTTAGTGAAGATTGTTAGATATTATTGAGATCACGAACCAACCTAAGTTGAGCAACCATGAAAAATCAGGAATCATTGGACATCTGTTTAATTCTAGTATGGGACTCAGCCATGAGAACTAAGGACCTTGGTTCAATCCCTGGCAAGATCGTGAATGAACATTGCCAAGGAGTCCCATTCTGGGACGTAACAGCTATCCAATGCCTCCTAGATTTCATTGGTTGCTTAACTTGGGTTTCTGTGTTCTCAATAAAATCTTTAATTGTTTTCAGTAGATTGATAAAGATATTTTTTACAAGAAAATTATGTTCGTACCGGATTATATGTGCAAATACTAATGAATGTTCTGATTTGTTTGTTTTTAATATCGTAAATCATTGTGCACTATCAGGACTCTGTAGCTAAGTAGATAACGCTATGGCATTTGAAGCGAACGGTACTGGGTCTGAGTCCCAGAGTGAGCATCAAGTCTGAGATGTAGGTTCATCCAGCTGACGGGTCCCAAATAGGACGAAACGCGCATCCTGGATTCCACTGCTAGCCACTGTCCATCTTTGCTTGTAATCATTGTACATTTTACTTGATATTTTATTGCAATCTATGAATATATCAACTTCAGATTTAGGTATAACGAAAGCTATTGTAATCGCTCCCTTCAGGGAGCAGTACGTCTGTGGATTAATGAATATTAAAAGCTTTAAAATATACTGTAAATCTCTTGATTTTATTTTACTCATTTCATAAATATAGACTAAATTAATGCGATTGATTCCTTTCTGTTTATGATAGTTCTCCTGGTGATTTCATATTGATTAATGAACTAGGACTTTTTTGTACTCTTTTTTTTTAACAAATTGATAAAGTGTTCTACTGAATGAAGATGGTCATGTACGTTTAACTGATTTTGGCCTATCAAAGGAGTCAATTTTTGAATCTGCTGGTGACCGAACGTATTCATTTTGTGGAACAGTTGAATATATGGCTCCAGAAGTTGTAAGTAGACATGGACATGGTACCGCTGCCGATTGGTGGAGTTTCGGAGTACTTATGTACGAATTACTTACTGGTATGCTGCCTTTTCATAGTGAGAGTAGAAAAGATACAATGCAAATGATTTTAAAGTAAGTAAACTAATAGTGACGTATTTTCAATAAAAAGTCACTGGTTGATGATAATGAAGAAAACGCATTAGCTGTGTGCAAACAAGGATATTAATTAATTTTTATTTATTTGAGCACATAAATATTGGTACAAACGGACACCAAATATATTTGCGTCGCACAAATAAAGATAGCTAAATATGTATATTGTTATTTTCTATTGCCAATATGAATTTACTTTGAATGAGCGGCCAACTGACTCTGAAACCTTCACACGTTTTAGCATTAATAGGAAGACATGACAGTAAACACATTTTTTACTAAGAGCATGTGAACAACGACTTATTTCATAAGTTAACTGGTTTATATTGTGATATCTGTATTTTAATAACTGAATGAGCCTTAAATTGTTCTTATGAAATAATTTATTGTTAGGTTTTTATTTTTACAACTTAATTAAAGGATTGCATTGTCGAAACTAAATGTCTATGAGAATAATATTTTCTAATTATCTGATTAGGAGTTTTATTTTGTGTTGGCTTGCAGGTTTTTAGTTACTGATTCTTACTACTTATCATCTTGACCTGTTCTTATATATATATATATCGGGATAGTAAATACAACTGTTTTCTGTCTAATTTGTCGAAAATAATTTTCTTGGTGGAGAACAGCTATTTTCTGAGAGATTTTCCTCAATCAATGAAATCTATATAAGCGTTAAAACAGTTTTGATTAGTTATTCGTTCCAAACTGTTTTTTTCTCATAGTCCGATAACATGACATCGAAAGTATATTGATAACTTGAAAATTTGATTAATGCAACTGAATTTTATGTTTTAAAGCTTTTCCAGTTTGACTTATAGTGCGAAATGTTACAAAGTTGTTGTAACATGAAATACAAAAAAACGCGTGCAATGTACATAGTCTGTGTGTACTACTGGTAAATACGTATCGTACTAAAGCAGTAAAATTAATCGTTTTAATGATTAATTTGGGGAAACTTGTTGAAGGATAATAAATATTCAATGATTGTTGTATCCTTTGTTTTCATCTGTTGATGTAGCTATTAAGGCATTTGCGATACTTTATTTGATCATACACAGTCATGTTATCCGGCGCCATCATTTAGAGGTTAACCTTCTCCATGAGTCAGTTAGTCTAACACGTAAAACTGACTCAGTTGTTTGTGTTTTGAGAACTTGTAATCGATATAATAATAACTTCAAATTTATTATTGTGTTTAAATTACATATCATCAGATGCGTCTCGATTTCAACATTCATTCCAAGACCTCATTTCCCGCGCATATTTTTTTGAACTCTATAGTTCATTTAGTGGAAAAAGATATTTAGCAAATAATTCACACATTGTAATTTTGTCTATAAGTCATGACTGTGTTTTGCTTTTTATGAATTAGGCATCAAGATCACTATCCGTTCATTTCAAAGCAGACAGTGAACTACTAAAAATTAAATACATATTATTAATAGAAATCCTTGTGAATTATTACTGCTACTGAAATGTCCATTGTTTTGATACTTTGTTTGCTAAATACATTTGTAAATTATTTAAAATGGATATGTTTCAATGCTTTAAAAATATTATTGCGGAGTCTATCACATAATACACATAATGGAAATGTATTTTAATATGTGTTTTTTTGTATTTGTAAGTCTGATTTGTTTTATCGTTAAGTATGATCACATGCAAGTGAATATTCACATATGAATAAATCAAAAACTAATTCATCTCGAAATACAGTCTCAAATGTAATGTGAATGAGTTTTAGTTCAGAGTTTCGAAACGAATGCTCTAAAAATGGAGATAATGTATATGTTCATATTGTCTATGTCTACGTTTGTAAACAATACCTACTGAAATATAGTAATATACATGTCACGCAATGATTTATAATACATTATGAGTTGCATTTGCTATCTATTTAACAAATAATGCAAGATAAAACTTCGAAACAAAAAGTATACATAAGTTGGAAAATACAGTCAACAGTGGTTATCAATACTCCCAACTAACTCAGCTAAAGAGAAAGCATTGAAATGGTCATGTAGAGAGGTTTGTTTTTTCCAAAGAGAATACAAAACAAGGCCTGTGACATTTACGCATTGTGTTTTGTTTTACACAAACAGTGAATTGAAGATTAATTGTCATTGATATTAGTAGCAGATAATCGGGAAAAAAAGCTGTAAGAATAAATGAAACAGGATATCTAGAATAAAACAGGAGAAAATTCAATGTACAGAAAAACAAAAAGTCACAAAGTACAAAATAAATTCAACGATTTCCACCAGAAACATAAAAATTAATTAATTGATCTTCTGTATATATCTAATACTAAATAGATTTGTGTACCACGCAAAACGTTTTTATATGTTTGAAAATCTGTTTTTTTCGAAAGGTAAACCTCAAACTTCTGAAATAATAACCATTCACATTTGTTACTTGTGCTCGTAAATAAGTGTTGAGTGGATTATTCTTAATGAAAAATTGCTTCTTTATGTAATAATATTAGTAAATTTATGCGAGTCATTCTTCAACGTCTTACATTGGTAATGACTACTTAGTTCAATGTACATGTGTATCAGGCTTGTAGTGAATACCTGACTTTTTTAGTATACCCCTAACTTGGCAGAATAATTATGTTGAATTGTTAGAATTATTGAAAATGTTGACGTTTTTCCAGGCTAATTTACTAATAATTGGTTTAAATTGATAAACTTAGAAAAGTTCTGTATTTAATGTAACTAAAACCAACTTGGTCATGTAGTATGACTAAATATTCAAGATGTATATACATTATAATAAAATAACATTAATAATTTTTTCATCATATTGAGATATATTTTAAATGATCATTCCAATAATTTCAATGTAATAATCAACATAGACTGACAAATTATAGATAACAAGTTTGCTCATTTATTCCTAATAAGCTTTTCTCTCACAAATTATCTGTAATACAATTTGCGCTCTTCTTGGATACTCTTTTGTGAAACGACGTACATTATTGCATCGGTTAAATACTGACAAGAGTATTATAGTCGATTTCGGCTGTAGATTTAAACTACAAAGAATATTGACCAAGCTTTCATTACTGTTTGTAATTCATGTGATCAAGCTGCAGTGTGGTCACTATCCTAAGTGCTCGGCGTCGTGTGTAGTGTGTTTTGATTTTAGGGAGTTATAGGTAATCAGGAGGAAACCCTGTTAATAAAAAATATCTGCAGTCTTGAGGGCATTAATACTCCCTGTAGGATTCGTACTCACCCCACTCAACTTCACAGTCTGAGACATTACCACAATTCTTCTATTGGTGCAGCTAATGACCTACTGCTTATGAGTTTCATGCCGACTACATCCAATTACCTAACAGTCGACTTTCTGTTGACAGCTTCTTTAAAGTTGTGTATAGTCAAGTAAAGCAGAATCTTTAATTACATTTCTCTACTGCAAATTAGTACAGTGATATCAATTTAACAGATGGAACATAGATCATTCAGATAAATGGTTAGCAATTTGAGATAACGGTAAACCGTTAATAGGCTTTTTTCACTTGAAGAATTGGTAGATTTAATCAAAGATGTTTATGATCCTACCAATAGACTTAATGACTATAGTTAATAATAAACCATTGGTCTGCTTTTTTACTTTTTGACATCGAGAGGAGACTTTGTTTATTCCTTCATTTTCATATAAATTAATATACAACTGTAACATCAAAATCCTTATTAATAATTAACGATTCAGTATAGATATTGTTCTTATATGAGTTTGATGAAAAGTAGTATTTTTTGTCTAAGATTTTTCTCTCATCTGTTTGTTAAGTGATGTGTATCACTGAGACTTGAATGAAGTGTCTAGTATTATAGTGAATGTTTTTATCGGAAAATACCTAATCTCTTCTACAACTACTGATATCTTTCATACTTCTACTACTCTTGGTTTCGTTTAGACAATTTCATCTCACTGTGCTAGTGTGGCATGACAACTTGAACCGATATACATATGTTTCAAGTTCGACGTCATGTATAGTTAACTTACTGACACGGAGACAATATTGTATACCACACATGGTTTGCAAAAAAATTAACTAAAGACGTTTATGATTGTAGTATTTCCAACTCACTATTGAAATGTAGCTTTTTTACAATATAGGAAATAGCATTCTCATAGAAATTGAATTGTTAGAAATCGAGCGCGACAGGAGAATAATTGTACCGCTGAATAATTACACGATAATTCTAAACTGATTGTATGTAACGATGTGACAACGTATTTATGTGTTTTAATGTACAAGTGTACAATGCTGTTATACTTCAAATATGTGGGGGATAAGTTACCAGTTTTATATTGTTTAAATTGTCGTTCTTCCGTAGTAATTGCTTTCATGAGAGTGACTTTTAGTTTGACATTTTTCGTGGATCATAAGATTAACTGCAATAACTTGATACATGGTCAGCTTATGAAATGATCCTTTGTACGTAAGAATAAATGTGTGTAGTTAAAATTTATCTCGGTATCCAATTCTTAAGATTGATGTTCTAAGAATTACTTAAAATACTGATGAAAAATGGATTTTGTAATCTAAACCAAATGGTTACCACAAAATAGGTTTATTTTCTTGATGTTTACATAATTTATGCCTTTGAATGAACCTACACGAAAATTGAAATTTCGCTTCAGAATATTTTCATTTGACTGTTTACTTTGTACTCAGATTTATGGTACATGGTCTTTTCTCTTCCTTATCTGTGAAATATAGTTATTGTTTTGTAGAGCACATCGTTTGATGACCCCACCAAAAACAACATTCACTTCTATCTGCCATTATAAGTTTGTTGCTATGCACAGCACATAATAGCTTCATTACAATTAATTGTTTCAAACAAACTGCTCTTCTTATTGAAAAAAAAAGTTTCTCAGTCCTAAACTAATCACTTTTGCAAGTTCATTACCAACTCTATCTTTATATTTATAAACATGTATTCAATTCATTACAACACAGTGTGTACATCGACTAGTAATTGTTGATGTTACCATCTGATAATCAATAAAATATCAAGTACTTAACAACTCACACGTAATGTACCTTGTTCACCTTCACACTTTTAAGAAGGAAATAACTTATCTATTTTACCAGGTATAATTTCTATATAACTTAGATTTTTACTTTCCTAAATTATATTATCTAATATAATAATGATGTTGTATTGTACAGATTAAACATAACAAAAAATTGTAAAATATTTAAAAGAATGTAAAATGTTTTTTTTAATTTTTTCAGAATAAAATATTTCTGTGTCAGAAACAAAAAAAATTTTACAGGCTAAATTAAATGAAATTAAAGAGTTCATTTCAATGCCTTAATTTTAATCTTTTTCTTATTTACTGTTTATTGTGTAGTATATGTTAAGATATTTTTCTTTTGTACGACTGGGTATTCTGTGTTTTGTTATTCAATAAATAATTAGAAAAAAAATAATAGAATATTTCAATGTATAGTTGTTTGAATGTAAATAACTAAAGTGTGCATATTAATTGATTTTATTGACTTGTTCAAGTGTTAGCTTTTGGTTTTTCAATTTTGCTGAGAAATATCTCCCAAATATGTATTGGAAAATATTGCAATGAAATGGTTATAATTTGAGACTGAAGACCCTGGGTTCAAGTCTCGTGTTCGGGATCGTGGATGCACACTGCTGAGAATTGTCATACTAGGACAAAACGGCCGTCCAGTACTTACAGGTTTTCAATGGTGGTCTAGCTTAGATTGGCTCGTGAATTCAACTGTTAAAATATAATTAGATTGATAAGAATTGTTCTACTCTTGAATGTAGCATGTTATTTTTGAAATCAAAACAAAAATCCTAAAGCTGTTAGTCTAAACTTATTAAAAACACATAAATTTTTTAGGTTCAATAACCGGTAAAATAGACATGTATGTTGCATATCAAAAGATTATGTATCCTGCAGTGACATTATCAGTATTTATTGTGTCATATTACATTAAATTTTAAGACAAATTGTTTTTTCTCACCAATTTATATTGGGTTTCATTTGGTTACATTTGAAAGCTAATTTCTCTCTTGATTGTTAACTTTGACTTTGTAATACTATTGAAATGCTCTAAAAATAGCCTCTAGTTTATGATTTCAGATATTCACTCTGTTTTAACTAAATAGCTTATTCAGATAAACTGTGATTAGTTTTCTTATGAAGTGATGAACATTTTGAATAGAGTTTCTTGTGTTTTATACACACTAGTTTTTAATTGGATACGAATCAAGATGGAATGAATAGACTATTTTGTTTTACTATACCTGTAAACATAAATCAAGTCAATTTATGTCATAGATTTGGCATTGAAATCTGTTTGATTTAAGTAAACGGAAAGAAGTTAGAAAGAATTTTCACTAATTTCCTTGATGTTGTAGATCTCTTTATTTTTTATAAACTATCATGAAACGATAATAAACATACAACGTTATCACGAGTTAACTTTGTTGCAAAAAACAAGCTTATTAAAAAGCTTGGTAAACTAATTGCAAAATAAATATTTTATTTTGTATGACCATTTTGTTTACTAAACTTGATTTTGTTTTGTTTTTTAGAGCTAAATTATCAATGCCACAGTTTCTTAGTCCTTCGGCTCAAAGTTTACTACGTGCTCTTTTCAAACGAACTCCATCGAATCGGCTAGGTAAGAAGAAAGCTGTTACCGAATTATTTATCTAACAGATTTTATACTTACTAAATTATCTCATTCGTTGATTGTCGTTTTTATTTATTCGAATGATTACTTTCTACATATGACAATTCTGTTTAAATCTTCAGGTATATATATGTTTTTGTATACGACCATTTACTTGCTTAAGCCTGTTACCTTCCTTGGAGGCATAGGCCGCCGATAAAGGATCTTGAGCCAACTCTTCTGAATAATCCCGGCTTTTACCATGAGGTGTCATAACCCTTCTATACGAAGAATCCTAAACTCCCACAGCAGAGTTTAAGTGGTTATTTTGGTTAGCGTTTTCTTTGCAAGGGTTGGCACCTCTATCCCTAACCCTCCTCTCTTATCCGGGAATGCGACCGGCAGTAGCCTTTGAAGGGGTCGAGCCGGAGATCTATAACTGCACAATATTTATTACACAGTAGGCATGACTAGTGCTGGAAAATTTGTTTGATCAGATCACTTAAAATGATGTCAAGCTAAACAAAATGATGATATTTAAATATGGCAGAAATTACCTAATTGAACGTACATACTAAGCCCACTAAACAGAACAAGAATACCGAGTGGAGGAGAACTGTTTAGACCCATTTTTTATTCTATCGTTTCATGTTAGCTAGTTATAACCAAAAACACCGTGGAAGCTTGAGAAACTGATGGGATTGAACAATAATGATAATATTATTAATAAAAGTAACAAGAATACTGATAAGGTTGTCCATACCTGTACCAAATGGATGTATTCTTTAAAAAGCAGGAACTTCGAGTTAACTAAAGAGGCATATGCGTATATATATTATATAATCCCTTAATTTTGATTGTAGTACTTGTTGTTTTATTTACATTGATTATATTCTACGATTATTCTTGGTAGTGATATGGATTGCAGAAAAATGTGATACAATTTGATTTCTTAAGTTGGAAAACTGAAGTTGTCTGTTTCTTCTTATCTAGCTGTTTGTCTACCTGTTTATTTACACAAAACAATGAAACCTACTGCTTACATAATAGATTCATAAGAGCTGTACACAAGCAGCAATTCGCATTTCTTTCACTAGTTAGTATAGGCTAATAGTGAATGACTTTCATGTCAAATAATTCAGTGGTTTGTTTTTTTTTGAAAAAAATCATAAAGGCATACAAGTTTATTTAAATCCAAATTAATTCCCTCCATGAATAAGATGTAATTTAACTGATAAATGTTTTGGACTTCAAATGATACATTAAATATAAGATACTACTGAATTTAGATATAATCATTAAAATTATGTTAATTATGAAGAAATTGTTGCATTTTTTGTATTTATTCTTAATTTTATCAGTATGATTGGATTATTGTATGATTTTCGTTTAATTGATAATAAATAGATACCAATGATATTGTCATTAACTGCCGAAACAGTTAAATAGCTTCAATACTTTCTAAACCCTTTATATTGTCATGGTCACTTAATTCACAGTGTTTTATTAGGATCCAACAATCAATAACTATCTGGATATTAAGAGATTTATAGTTAAAGCTATTTAGTTATACACAGTAAAGTGTATAGATGTTTTGTGGTACTACTTACCTAATTTTGAATTAAATACAGTCTGTTCAATAAATACACGAACTGAGGGGATATTATTTTTACAAATTTCACGATATATCAATAGTTTTTTATACAAAATATGACTTATTTTCTGGGATACATTTGTACAATTTTTTTCCATTGCTCAAAACACTTCTGTAAGTTGTTAGAAGTCCGACTCTTCGGCTATCTCGTTGTTTCCTGCTCTATTGTCTTCAAGTTTTCCCCGTTTTACCGTTAAGTGACTACTTTATGCTCTGAAAATGGAATGAAATTAAGTGTAGCCATGTCCGGGAAGTGAGGAGAGTAATCTTTCATAAACGGGACCTAGCCCTAAATATTTGACTCAAGACTTGTGCACAGACATTCTTCCGAAATATACTACGGCATTAATCCTTCGGACTGTGAGAACCAACTATTCGAAGGCACAAGGAATTATACACGCTCTATGTTTTCATAAAGACAGGATTTTAATATTAATTTTGACTCTGCATCACTCTTGAAAACTCCTGGGATATCTTTGAGACATTTAATCCAATTAGAAGTGGTTTTTTTATTCAGTTTATCGGTTGGAGAGTAGTAAAGACATTAACAGTGCTAATGGCAATAGAGAACTCTCAACACTTCATAAACTTCTTAAGAGTTTCCTCAGTGCTTAGTCAACAAACTTAGTAACACTTGCTGTATTGACTGAATACATTGGTGAATTTGATTGGTTCTAACATAAACAACTATTCAGTGCACTTGATCAACAATTACGCTGGACGGTGAGCCATCCTGAGACTTCTATTATTATTATTATTATTATTATTATTATTATTATTATTATTATTATTATTATTATTATTGTTATTATTATTGTTATTATTGTTATTATTATTATTGTTGTTATTATTGTTATTATTATTATTATTATTATTGTTATTATTATTATTATTATTATTATTATTATTATTATTATTATTATTATTATTATTATAGTCAGAAAATCGCATGTTCTATGTCCATTTTTTTGTTTTGGTAGTTATAGTGTTTTTTTAATCAAGATTACCTTTACTTTGAATAGATAATGACCATAGTGTTTACACGTTTATTCATCAATCTATACAAAACCTAATTCCATGAAATAAATTATTTAAATATCAATTCCGGTTGATAAATCCGTGTCATAGGCCTTTCCAACAAATATTGTGTTTATTGTTAAGTTTATCGTTTGAAGTTTTTTTCTGTATACCAATTTTTTTGTTTTTTTCCCACGCTAGGATATGGACCTGATGGATTTGAACATTTAAAAAGTCATGAATTTTTCAATACAATCAATTGGGATGATTTACTAAATGGTTGTATTCAACCACCATTTAAACCTCCTTGCTCATCAATTAATGACATCCTAAATTTCGATTCAGAATATACATCACGTACACCACATGGTAGGTATTTGCTACAGTGTTTATAACAGAGATACAATTTCTTATAATGAGTTGTTAATAAAAGTGAATATTATATATATAACGCAATAAACGGTTGGGCAATTTATCAAATTACAATAATAAACTTCGATAGTATTTGAGAGTAACTTTTCAAATCGATTAAAGCTGAAAATGTGAATTTTTTTAATTACAGCAAAAGGTATTTCGTAGTTAAGTGTTATGCTTATTCCTGTTGTATTGGGGACTATAGTTGTGCATTTTTGATAAGTTTTGTAAACACTTTTAATGTTTACTGAACAGATTTTAAATCTAGATCGTGTTGTGCTCCGGTTCACTTTTTTTGTTAGATTATTCACTGCATGTATACAAATTAAAATTACATGGTCTCGTAGATTTTATGGTACTCGATGTTCTTGTAAGGAGTTGGCAACAAGTATATTATGTTTCTAGACCTACTTCTTTCAACTTCACTCAGTCATGTTACAACAGATGAAGCATTGTCATTTGAATAAATGATAAAGATCAATAACAGTTAGAAATAGTGTTTAACACCACTCCTGTCAAACATTGTAGAAAACTAAATATTTTGTTTTCACTCCTTTATGGATTAATCTCTTGTTTAGATGTCATCTAACTGATCTAGTGTAGTTAAGTTGTAACCTTCATTCGATCACAATAACAGATACACTCAGTATTTATTTTTCGCAAAATCTTAAATATTTTATTCTTCATTATTTATTTATCCTTGCGTTTGTGCGATGTTGTATACATTATTAGTTATCTTGCTCACTAAATATTTCTACGTAAGCAGAATTTCTTGACGTTTTTTTTTTCAAATGCTTTCAACTTACAGACTCGCCATGTCCACCAGCCAGTGCATCAGCGCATGCGTTATTTCGTGAATTCAGTTATATAGCTCCTGGATTTTTTGCAGAGCATAATGATAATCATAATACCACAACTACAAATAATTGCAACAACCATGTTAACCTTAATAAAGAAGTATTGAATGGAACAAATATCACTTGTCTGAGTTCACCGAAAGAAAAATTCAATTATAGTTCTCGACACGATGATGGTATGTGTATTGGTAGAAATCTAGCTACATCTCGTCTTTTCAGTATCACACTTTTATCGATATATGTAATGGTGTGATTCATATGCATATTTATACATGTTTCCTTAATGTTTACTGACTTGTCATAATGAATTTACGTACATATGTATTCATGTCCATAGCTGACCACAGTAATTTCGTTCTTAGTAAATATATTCTATATTTATTTTCATTAAATATTATTATTAGTAGCAGAACACTAAAGAATTTCTATACAATATTTAATTTTAAAAATTCCGTTCACACCTATGTGAACACATACGCAGCAGTAACAATTTAACAGCACACAAAATGAAGTTGTGTTCAGACACTATTCAGAAAAACTAAAACGCACTTCAGCTTCCTCACTACGCAAAAAATTGGAAAAACTCATCTTTAGTGGATCTTTTGTCCGAATTTCTACTCCAACAAACTCATCAACTGGTCTCTGGCCAATAAACAAACCATCAAGAAACCAATCTCCGAAGCCATGGTACAGATCGTGCTAACATATGCGTGAAATATCTCAGAAACCCATCACAAGGATCTTCAAGCCCTTTAAAATCAACATTGCTCACAAAACAACACTTACTTACTTACTCTTTGTGAATCATAGACTAACAACCAGGATTCTTCCATTGACTTCTTCTTGGGCTCTCCGTCCCATTTGTTTCCAGTTGCTATTCTTTCTTTTGATGTCTGCCTTCGATTCCTGACTCAACGTGTTGTTTGGTCTGCCTCCGTTACTTTTGCCTTGAGAACTTAATGTTAACGCTTACCTCGTGATGAAGTTTGATGATTTCCTCAATGTATGTCCTATCCACTTCCAGCGTTTTTTCCTAATTTCCTCTTCGGCTGGATACGGGTTTTTTCTGTCACAGTATGTTGTTGCTAATGATATCCGGCCAACGGATATTGAATATCTTGCATTTAGAAACACCTGTACATTTTTGATGATGGTTGTGCTAGTCATATAATTATTAATATCATCTGTAGTTTGTCGTCAATGGAAGTTTTATACTGCTCGCAACACTATATTATACAATTCTTTCGCCTAAACTTTATATCTTGCGTTCAGATTAACACAGGTTTTCGTTTCTTGCTTGACAGCACTCAGATAAAGATGTGTATAAGAGAAGACTATAAAATATAAGAGTCACTAACAATTATTGAATGTGACAAACGTAGTTTTTCTTGTGATGAAGATGATTTATCTTTAATAAATATTTTCTATGAGAAGAATACTGTCTCGGGTTCTCAAAATATATCGCCATTTTCGTGAATAATTGTTTTAGGAACTTCAACTATCACGCATATGCAGAAGTGTAACACAATGCTATGATTGCAATTCATATAACCATTTTCTTATTTCTTCTTTAATACACAGATCGTGCAAATCCAGTACATGTTCCAGAAGATCTTCCACCCTTAACTCCTACAGTGGCAAGACGTTTTCTTCGCTTAGTTGGCTTGTCAGGTGTAAAATATAAACCATTTTCAGTCGATTATGTCTTATTAGAGGAAATCGGTAAAGGCTCTTTTTCAGTTGTACATAAGTGCTGTCATCGAAATACAAATGCTGTTTGCTCTGTTAAGGTATGTCATTTGTCAGTTTTAAGTTATATTATTGTCTTCACTTATTATTTTTTGATATTTGGTTAGGGCTATTTTATCCGGAACTCGTGTTTCGTCTTATTTGGGAATTTTGTTAATGGATTAGTCAAAATTAAACCTGCTTCGAATACCTATTTTTCGGTTAAACTTTATAATTTACTAAGTATTTTAGAAAAAAACTTATTATTAACTACTCTTTTGCTGAAGTCTATGATATGCTAGGTCAAACAAGTCACGTTTAAGATTGGAATGGCATTAGATTAGGATTGAACTCCATCACAAATAAAGTAAAAGGCAAAAGTGGAAACTTATAGTTCATAACTTAATGTTTTAAAAGTGTACTGTTCTTTATTCGGTTTTGAAGTTGGTCAGTACCCGTAAGGATTTTCAGACTTTTGTTTGGTGCTTTATATTGTTTGATAATCCTATATCTGGCTTCACTTCACATAATGAATTTGCATTCAGTTTTTTAAAAGACGATCATAGATTATTGTAACCTTAGCGAATGATTCCGAGGTAGAAATAAATGCACCTTCTGGATTGCGCTGCTGATCACAGTCAGTCTATTCTCAATAACTTGCGACAAAAATGTCTATTTCTAAGCAATCTACAGAAAATGAACATATGACCAAAATCTAGTCTTGAATATCAACAATGAGATAGTTCAAATTCTTATTGGGGATGGTATAAACATCATGTCTGCCGAATAAGTTATTGGCTATGTGGGCTCAGCTGCTTAATGGATAACGTGTTGAGCATTGAAAGCTTAGGGTACTGGGTTCGGGTCATAATGCGAACATTAGTTGTGGGATGCAGGTGTATCCAGTTGACAAGTCTGAAGGGGGACGAAACATATTCTGGATTCGATTGCTAACCACAATCCATCTATTCTAAATAATTATGACATTACTGAATATTTAGATGACTTCTATATGAATATTTTTTCCAAATATTCTCCAGTATCACATTAGCTTTAAGTTAACTGAGCTAACCATTTTATTAGTTATCCAACATTATGGTCATATGGAACATTTGAAATTGATATAACCAGTAATGTAATAGAATTAAATAATTAATTGACGAAATAAATGAAAGTTTACAATATGAATGTCAATTGTATATCAGCTAACACTGCATAACCTCTAATGTGTGAATTAGAGAGTGAGATGTTGGTTGTTTATTCAACTTTTTCTAAATTTTTTCTAATTTTTTTCCTTTTTAATTTTTACCAGCTCAGTTCCTTTCATTTTTATCTTGACCATAAGGCATCACCATTTTCTTTCTCTTCCTCACAGTACTTGTTCCTATAAACACAAAATATCTTAGTGGATTTTAAATGGTTTAAGATAGTATTCTCAATATTCTGTTAAGTGTTTTTGATTAAACATTTAAAAGCTTTGGATTTATACTATTAATACTAATAATACTAATCCTACTACTGTCAATACTCTTGCTACTGTGGTGAACGAGAAAAAAAGTGGGGACAACCAAATATATTTTAATACAACACCACAGAATATCTTGATAAAATCGGAGACCCATATAGTAATACATCATTTGCAAAATATCCATCAATTGTCTCAGACTTTGGTGTTCCTCCGTTTTCATACCAATCACTCTGTTCTCGTTCTCTTCTCTTCGATTCTCTCAACCTTCTACCACCAGGCACTCCACTTTCAATTGGTGATACATACTACTCATATCTGTCGACATCAGTAGCACACACCACACTACTGCTACCACAACATAGATTAATGTTACCGTTACTTACACATCTCATAATTGTAATGAAAATGTGTTTGTAATTGTATTATTTGTTTGAATTATATTATGACAAAAAGGAATAATTTTGTATTGGAATAAGTGAAAATGTTTTTCACACAATGTATATTATATTACACAACGTTAAAACTGTTTATATAATAGATCTGATCAAAATTACTGAACAGATGAATAATTTCCTTTTGTTTTACAATTCAAAAATTTATTGTTCTATTGAATGGGATCAGGTTAAATAACTTTCCGATATGAAATCATGTTTACCAACAAAGTGTAGATAACTATTGCACTTAATATTGTTTGATTATATCTCTGTCATTGCAACACTTTAATCTCTACCATTTAAAGATAAATATTCATTACAGTACTTGTATATATAAATTTCTAAGCTAAATTATTGAAATCTTTCTATGCCTCCTTTTTTTATTTCTTTCATCAGCTGACGGTTTTATAGATTTCTATTAAATCATCATTGGTTTTTCTAAAGGAAAATAAAAATCTATCTAAACTACCTTTTAATTGGTATGCATGTGATGTTTTTGGTTTTTGTGACAAAAAAAACTAAACAAGAACAAATATAATGTAAGACGAGGGCATGTGTAAATAGAATATCTATTTTGGTTGTTTTTACTACTTCCTAGAAATGTTTTATCATAGAATTTCAAAGTCCTGTTCTATTTTTATATTTTATATAAAGGTTTGGTTTTTTTAAGATGTAAATTCATTGTACTGTTTCTTGAAGTAATTATATGACAATTGTCTTGGAATGGGCTTAGTAGTTTATGAAAGAGAAGTAATAAACTTTTGAATAGTAATTTAGAACGCTTATTTCATTAATAACACTTAAAGCTAACTGACATTCATTAGATCAAAAGTCATGTAATCATTATATAATCAAAGTTGTGTATTGTCATTTGCAATCTGAATAGATTAGCAGTAATACTATGAACTGTGAAGTCGAGCGAAACAAATCCTAATCCTACATGGAACATCAATTTCCTGAAGATCGTAGGTACGCTTTACTGATAAGCGCTAACTAACACATAACCTAAATTCAAGGTTTCCTGCTGACTACCTCCAATCATCCTGGATTATAGTATTATAAATCTATATAATTGAAATGGGAGTAATAACTCCTATCATTTAAGTGTATATAACAAATATACCGATGCACTTAATACATTATTTTTCAACTTATATATTTCTCATATTATTTATAGGTAGTTTCTAGCCAGGTACTTAGTTGAGATTAATCCTAGATGCCGTCATTTTGTGATACCTTGTTTTAAAAAAATATACATTTAGTCAATATCTAAACTTATAGATTATTTCTAAATTTTATCGTTTCTGAACTTCAATATTCACAATTTCTTCCACAATGACCCTTGATGCATCCTCGAATGCGTCATTTTTAGTTTGTTTTCCAATATACTTACTTGTACAAAATAAGACCTTACTATTATCTTACTAGTGGGATTAGTCATAGCCCTTAAAATAAATATCAGTGCTATATATCCATATCACAATGAAGACAGGTAAATCAATTGGAAAGTTTTTCATTTCTTGATACAAATCTGATAAAAGTCTTGGGTAGTAAAAATAAACCGCATGCTATGCAAACAACCGATCGTCCTGTCAGTTTACTGTTGTAGATAGTACGCTGTTGAACCATCAGGATTGTGGATGCGCACTTCTGAGAAGTTTTATATAAGGACAAATCGGTCGTCCAGGTTTCCAATGGTTGTCCAACACTGATCAATTTATGATCTTGATGGAACTGAACAATCTCAATAACCCTGTATTATTAGTTGCTGAAATTCGGTCATCACTAGAGAGCAAGTCATGCATGACATTGATTATGAGTCAGTAACCAGTCAATGTATATTCTGCATTGTTTGCTAACTGCAAATTTCTATTTTAATCCTTTTATGATTCATAAAAGTGCATCATTGAATTAGATACTCTCATAACTGTGCTTGTCAATAGTACTTCAGCAACTCAGTTTATTCTAAAGTAGTCAAGAAAGAAAAGTTTACATATAGATAGCAGATAGAATTCCTGTTTTGATGAGTTAAATTGTGTTAATCACTTATCGAGTGCTTTTTTATTGGTTACTACGTCTGTATCTTAATTTATAACACTTTATTGTAGATAATATGAATCAATTCCTAATCTTTGATAATTCCAATTATTGAATATGCGATGCCGCATTTTATGCGTTCTATATTAATTTAAACAATATTCTTTACATATATCATATTTATATGTTAACGATCGTTTTGTTTACTACATAATCAAGTTTCGATTCATTTCTCACTGGACTCAAGGTGATTCTAACCTATTATTCTTATTCTTATTATTATTCAAGTTCTTTTTAATTAAGCTAACATTGTTTAAGCAGTATATTAATAAGTGTTAGATCTATTCTTATACTAAAAATAATATAACGTATCAATACATTCTATGAGGATTATTTTAATTTCAGCTAACTGAATCCAATGTCTTCAATTTCAATAAAGCCATTTACTTGTTATATATTTGTTTATTTTAAGTAACATTAAAACACCTTTTTTTAAAAAGGTTATATTTATTATATCACTACTGTAGCATCAAGTTTTATCATATAAAGGAATGATATTGTAATCTTTCGAAATAATTTTTTTCAAAAACTATATAATACTGATAATATATTTTATAAAAATGAATAGATCAGAATACTATCACTGATAATAATCCTTCAGTTGATAAAAAAGGTCACTGTTATTTGATAATTTTCATTAATTTTTTGGTCTACATACTAAATGTTTCTTAATTGTTCCAGTTATTGATCGACAAGAGAATTTTTTTTGTTATTTTTATCTTATGTCCATAGTTATTTTATTTTCCCAATCCTATTGTAAGTAATTTCATATTTCACAAGACAATATGCGTGAATGTTGAATAAATGAATTCACATGAAGTAACAAAATAAGGTCAATTATTTTATTTATCAAAAAAATTATCCTAAATTTTAACTCATAATCTTTTGTCATTTTATTCACAATGTCAGAAAAAAATGTTTATATTCCAAAATACTGTTATTGAACACTCATATATGAGACGAGGTGAGGCTATCTCAAATCTCACAGGGAACATCAGTCCTTTAAATGATACAGTATACCTTGCTGGTGAGTACTAACCAGCGTGAAACATTAGTCAAGTGT